AGGGAAAGGGACGAGGATGCTGCATGAGTTTCCCAGTTCTCTCTTTGTTCGGTCTCTGTTTCGAGTTCAATCTGCTTGGGCTCCCCCTCGTGCTCCGGCAGGCATGCATGCACAGCCTAGCCCTTTCGCGAGCCACAGCTACCGTGACATGCGGCCAGTATTCACAGAAAGAGCAAGAGAGGGAGAGGGGCCGACATATTTATGCTGAAGCCCGCTCTAGTAGGGGAGGCCTCGCCCCATCCTTGGTCACACTGTTAATCTGGACGAAGGACCACCAACCCTGCCAGCCAGGTAGGCAGGCGAACAGGCAAGCAAGGAAGCAAAGCAAGCAAAACAAGATGTGACCCGAGAGAGATGTGGATCCATTGCTGTGGTTCCCGTCATATTGGTGTGTTGCATCTCGGAGACCGGAGACACTGACTGCAGTGAGCACTGAGTTGGTTTGGAAGCCGCTGTCTTGTGTGTGTGTCCGAAAGGGGGTCGACATCTGTTATGACATATAACATCAAGGAGCTAGCTGCCGCAAGGTCGTGAAAGCCTCATGCTGTATTGTCAGCACAGCAGGGCGCACCTGCAAAGCAAAAAGCTATGAGCACAGGCTGGTTGCAGCTCAGCGCGTGCGAGTGCATGTGGATTCAAAGCCGGTTGAGCGTAAATGTGCTAAACTCTGTGGTCTTCGCGAGGAATTTCACGCTCGCAGACGATGAAGTCCCACGCCTGTAGTCACTAGCCGACTGTTGGCATTAACCACAAATCCAAATGGGATGTCAGGTATCTCAATCCTTGTAGAGGAATGACTTCGCCATGGCATCTGGGCACTCTGATTTGCCGCTGCCGCTGCCTTTCGCTCATCAGGCAGATTTAGTGCGAGCACATCAAAAAGATGAGCAATGCAAAGGCCAGGTTGCAGCTCTGCTTGTCTCGTCGTTTCGTGCATAGAGCTTATGCCCGATACCCCTCTTTCATTCTAAGGTGAACTTCGACGTCTGGTCTTAGATGCGGTCGAAGAAACATTGGGTGGCAGAGCTGCGGCATGGCAGCCGACAGCTGGAACCTTGCTAGACTGTTCAGCCTCTGATTGCTATGTCGGCCCTGCTCTTGATCGGCGGTCGCTCCCCGTGATTCTGTGATGGCTATTGCACAACCTGCTTCCTGCTTCCTCGGCCCCTGCAACTCACACGGTAGACGATTCTTAGTCTTGCAGTCTTGCCGCAAGCCAAGATTCAGGCTGTGGTGTCCCAAGCCGGATAGCCTCAACTGCCTACAAGATTGCCGTCTACGTAAGCAGACCTACTCATTGTTCCCAGGAGCAATAGCTGACTACTCCTACTCAATCTGCACGGGAGTCCTGGCCGGCAGCACGTTGGGCGAAGAGCAGCTTGGAGTGGCTACAACTTTGAAAATCCGTATAGTCGGTGTCATGATGTGACTGTGCAAGGTATTGCGAGCTGCTTTCTGTCTCCCCCGGCCTGCAGCCCTCGGACTGGCCGTGTGCTAAGTCCGGGCAGAGAGACCTGCGACACCACGTCTGCCTGTCGGTTGGCGAGGCGACGACGTCTTGCTGCCGCTCTTCTTGCCGTGGCATTGCCGAACTGTCAAGCGAGGTTGCCACTGAGTCTCGCAGCTCTGATGTCCGTTGTCACGCCACTCTTGATGCGCCACTCGACGGCACAGCAAGCCTGCCTCTGGGTCTGCTCTCGGTCCCTCTGCGCTGCACCTGCTTTCGCTCCTTTGTGGCCAGGAGTTCACTTGGCATTATTCTACCTCTTTGGCAGATACCATCATCTCTCTGACAGGGCACTCTGTCTGCGTGCTGTGAGCATGGCAGAGCGGCCATATCGCAACTTCAGCTACCGACCGCTTGGTGCACTGCTCCTGGCGCAAGTGCTGGGCCAGGCTGGGATGCACAGCCGGAAGGGCTTTGCGGGGTCTTGATCTTGGTTGATGCTTCGTGGACTCCTCTGGACCTTTAGCGTCTTGATCTGCTGATGGTTTGAGGTGCTTTTCATGGTGTTGGAAAGGCGAAGGTCCAGAACTACACCAGCTCATGCGGCAGTTTCAATGACTGGTGTCTCGCACAAAAGGAAGTGTTGTCTTGGCACATGTGCTCCAATGTGAACCATGCCGTATCCTTTGCCTCTCCAGGCATCTGGGACTCGATCCACGACAACAGTGTGCGCTCAGCATGCCCTGATCAAGGGCAAACTCCTCTCTGTTAGGGCCTTATGAGATAGTTGTGCCTTGTGATTGGCTTAAGCGTGCTGGTCACGATAGCCGCGACATCCGAGGCAACATCTGCATGTGCCCGTCTGAAGTTACAACAGCGACGCCGTGCGGCCATTTGTTCTGCTGGGATTGCATTGCAAGCTGGACTCTTGGTTTGACATCTCATGGCCATGACTGGAGGCTTCCTTCCGGGAGCATCACTTTCGGCATACCATAGAGTGGAACAGCTGGCATTTTGGGTGATGTTGAGTCTTTCCATCTTGCCGAGCTTCAGCTTTCCATCCGCGAAACAAGTGGGGATACCGCACCAGATAGATTTTGACAGACACTGTCAGATGAGGTGTGCGATGAAGTCTTCCTGCCCTCTTTGCCGGGCGGCTGCACCGCTTCCCGGCTGACAAGAAGCCCATAGGCAAAGCTGACAGGCTGACAGGCCCGGCGAACAACATCCAGTCAAAAAAGTAGTGCTCTTGTGCAGAGCGAGATGAGGCCGCAAAAGCTTTTGCCTTTGCTTCACTATGCATCCACGAGAGACTGACGAAGGCGCGTGACAGGTCTGCAGAAGCGATTTTCCTACGCTCTCGCACCGAGCGCATGATCTGATCAGCCGTGAGGCTGCCTGAGCGCCAGCCGGCTGACCTTCGAGGGCTTGATAGAGAAACTGCAAATTGCTCACTGCTCTGACCCGCTTCGAGTGTTTGCCATGGCGAGAAAGCTGCATCTCATGTGGCGGACTTTTCTTGCTGGCCCGGACGCCCATGCACTTTCGGAACTTCGTCGGCCCAGGTGCTAGCTGTCTAGCTTCCTAGCTGTGTCTGGTCGTTCAGAGACGGCTTTGGGAGTCGATTCGCTTTCGGCACGCGTGGCCTGGATCAAGGCAATTAGAAAATGAATCATGCAAGCTACTGCCCGGTCTGCTTTCTCAAAGCATCCAAACGTGCACGGCGGCCTGGAAGAAGAGTCATAAAGAGCTTGGAAGTTTAGGCCTAAAGTACGGTAAGCAACCAGGCAAATTAGACTTTGCACAGTCTTGCATGCTGTCATGCACATCGCCATGGTTCCTCGCAGCACTGCTGTCCAAGCTTTCCGCCGCAGATTCGTGTGGCGGTGTGCCGGCTCCACAAGACCAAGAGCCTCGCTCGCAGATTCTGACATGGGGCGGCGTGGCATGTGCAGCTGAGGATTTCGTAGAAGGCGGAGAGGAGACGCTGGGAAGGCCCTACGTTTCAAAGGATGCAGATTCAGCATCTTTGGCGGTTGTTTCTCCACAGTCAGATATTCCTCATACGTCCTTGCACCGTGAAGGAAATTCATCAGATGCGCGGCTGCGTTGGATGATGCTGGTGGGCATCGCAGCAGTCTGCCCAGCACGCTCGTTTTCAGAAGACCGCCGGCAACCCGGCATGGAACCAGCGTTTGGCATCAAGAACCCAGGGGCGCCCAAAACAGTACGTGCAGTAAGGACCCTTCTTCTCCAAGACACTTGGCTGCACCATATGCATCTGTAGGGCCGTGAACCAGGCCTGCTAGCAAAGACGGAGAGTCAGCATCACAACCACTGGAACCATTCCAAGCACGCGGTCGAGCCGACAGCAACTAAAACACATGGAGCAAACACAATCTATTCATACTCAAATCTAGAAGTGGTATAAGGTTTCAACCAGAGCGGACTTGCTGCAGGTGCGAGCATCATACAAACAGAGCCACCGCAGGCAGAATGCACAGGCATGACATGGCATGACAGAATTCGCACCGCCGCTGAGACGGCGGCAGCCCGCCGGATCACCCACTAAGCACTCGGAGGCAGCACGGAGACCATGTCAATTCGCCGTGCATCAGCACGGAAGGAGTCTTAGCCATCAAGCATCGCTTGAATACTTAGGCCCACTACCACGAAGATCAAAATTACAAACTTGCTTGATGGTATGAGGGAAGACTGCTTCCTGGAGGCTCGCATGGCCGACCCGCCTGCAGCTTTGGACTCCACCTCAAGGAGCGGTGCCAGATAAGAACTGCTCGGAATGCTGTTGAAGGGACCCACGAGTATCGCTCAGATGCAGCTCTTCTTTTTTCTGCTTACTTGATGCTTGTTACTTTGAGCTTGTTTATGCTAACGGCACTACCAATTGACCCGCGGGTTATGCTTGTTTTTGGAGACGGCGCCCGTAC